TACGCGATACGTTTTTATAAAACACATTCTTCTTCATCTAGAGACCACGTCGAAATAAAACACACATTGTCCTGTTTTGAGAATGTTTGTTATAACTTTTATTATTTATTATTGTCATAATCGTCATCACTATTCTTCAAGTTTAGCTGTGTAACAAACTTTTCTTGGCTGTCAAAATATGTTGCTGAAATATCATTTTTGCATGACACAAAAAACTAAAAAAAAACAAAAAAAAAACAATAACATACAGAAAGGTAACAGAATAAAATAACATGAGAAAACACAACCTAAAAATGAACAAACAACCTTCCCTACAAAAGCCATTCAACAGAGAAGAGACAAACTCCTAATATAATGAACTGATTAGACATAAACACGTACTGTGTGTGAGTGTGCGTGTGTATTGTCAGCCAGTATTAGACTAGCATTAGTTAACACTGTTCACCCCAAAATCTACGCTCACTGTGTACCTATGTGTGTATGTGTGTTGTCCCTTCCTTGGCAATAAGAACCTAATAAATGGAGTGCAAGCAATAGCATCAATTCCTAGAACACATTCTGACAAAGACAAAACATGTGATAAGGCCTCCCAATGTAAACGCTGATTCAAAATGCCATTAAACCAAAAAGCATATAGTCATCACTGAAGTAAAACAAGACCATGTATTCTCCAGACCCTTTATATATACATATATATATGTATGTATTTTTTTTATTTTTATTTTTTAGCATATTTGCATAATCGTTACCATGATCTAAAAGTTAAAATCCCAACATTCATAAAGACACAAGTGTATTTATGGTTTAGTACAGTTTCCTTAAATGTCAAAAAAAGCGGGTGAGAAAACAAAAACGCATCGTCAAATGGGACTGGATTTTGGAGGGCTTGAACAAACTCAAAAGTGCGCAAGAACAAAGTTTTTGCTATCAAGGCTGTTGTTTTTTGCTTTCAACTTAATAACAGAGAAAATATTTTCCTTCAAAAGTTAAGACACTGAAGCATCATGGCATAAAAAATTTTAAAAAAGAAATATTATTGGCCCCCAGCCTACCGAGAAATCTCTCTGGCTCATCAAAATGACTTTTCACACCAGAGTTAGCCAAAATAACAATTCAGACACCCTTTTTTTCACAGTCCCCTAGAAATGTTTCAAAGAAGTCCATAAAACATAATAAAAAGTAATAATACAGGGGAGAACTTATGTTGAATTCCTGTTTAATGTTAGCTCTCTTGATATGAACCATGTTGAAATTCATGACAAAACCCAGTAAATATCTTTGAACCAACCAGAGCCATGTTGAAGTCAACTGTACAAAGCTTAAATTAGTTTGATAGGTCAGCATTTAAACTCTTGAGTAGCCATTACTGTGTTCAAATTGTCCACTCTTTCACTATAGAGTTCATTTTAAACTTTAACATTCTATGTAAGAGTTTGTGTTTGGTTTAAGGGAATTTTTAATAATACTGTTGTATTTTTGTATAGATTATGGAATATTTTATTAATTGGTAAGTTTTTAGTTTCACGGGGGGGATGGCGAGAAACCTAATTTGAATTCCTTGTACGTCGAGTACACATGATGCATTGACAATAAAGAAGACTTTGACTTGAATGGCCCTTTCCCGTCAAAACACTGCAGGACCAGTCAGCAGCTTATAAATAAAACTAACACACAAAAAATATATCACTATGGTGTGGTCTAAACAAATCATGTTCAATCTAATACTAATCTTCGCCTACATTGTTAGCATACCATAACATTAGCTTCACACTAATGACAACATGTATAGTAATGGCCAGATCAACTCTAACATTAGGGTACTAGCAATATCAGTTGGGTAAACATTAATGTTAGTATGTTAGCACCAGGGGTTAGCTCAATGCTAATATTGCCAAGCTAACACTAACGGTCGTGTTAGCACTAGACTGCTATCGCTGATAGCAGTCTACGGTAATGATGCAATCAGTAAAAATTAGCTTAACGCCATCTAGCTAACAATTACAGCGAGTTCAGTGCGAATGCCCACAACCTAATTACTCTGGTGTTCAGACTTGTTTAAGGTGCAACTAGATACTCTTGCAAAGCAAAACCCCACCCCTGACAAATATTGAGAAATTCCAAAAGTGGGCGGTGTGGAGAGACACTGAAGGGAACAGCCAAGCGGGACGGGGTTGAGCAGAGCTGTGGTTCGGATGAAAAATGCACTGTTGCCCTCTCGCAACTAGTAACGAAACTAGCTTCTTTTTCTTTGTTATTGGGACCTTTTATGTCGATAGTGGCGACAAAACAGAGCTGTGCTGCCGTACGCCCGTCCTGCTTCCTAAGCACTGCAGTCACTCTTACACAGTCGTACTGCAGCATACCATCACCAGTAGTCAGCGGAAGACCACTCTGTGTCCACAGTTGTTGAGTTTCTGAGATAAATATCTGTACAATAAGTTAGTAATAATAAAGACCATAGATACTATTTTGTAGATTTGAACTAACAGGTACAAATAAAATAAAAAAAAATGTCTCTGTAATGTATTGATTGAATATCTGTCTGTCAATGAGGGTATAAAATATTCATGAGATGGATCTGAACTGAGGTGTGATCTGTATGACACTGCCTTATACTAACTTAAAAGTCAGGTGCAAAACAGCCAAGGCTTCAAAGGCATCAAATCTCGACTCTTCCAGTTAAATTTAGCACGAGCTCGTCAGTAAATGAGTGAACATTTTGAAGACAGCGCAAGACTCTGATTCAAAACCTTGAGAAACGTGTTCACCATGCTTTGTAAATCACTGAAAACGCAGGATGCTGAGAGAAGGCAGGCTACAGAAAGGACAATAAGGAGAGGACTGAGATGCACTGTTACACCTAGATTCTAACCAGCACGTGAAATCAATGCATTGAAATACAGTCAAAGGAAAAACCAAGGAAACATTTCTATCAGCTACTGTACGTCTCATTTTTTCTCCCACAAATTCTTCAGATGCTCCTATCCTTCCATCTCAGCCAACATCCTTCCATCCACTCCATTGTTGTCTTAAAAAAACAGTGCATTGTTTGTTTTGTTTTGCTACAAAAACAGATGTAAACATTCTTTATGTACTAGAAGCCCCTTAACAGATCAAAAGTTTGAAAGTTCATTAAAAAAAAAAGAAGTAAAAAATAAAAAACAGGACAAAATATTGCCAAAAATAATGGCAATAAAGTTTGAATGATAAGTTTGCTGAACATCCCCAGACATTGCATATTGGGAAACATTTTTAGTAAAAGTAAATTTAAACGACGCAGTTAATGGAGATCATGCGTCTTTCTTTGAAATAAGGACAAAAGAATAAAAAAAAACAGCCAACTCCTTGACCTACACTTCAACTACTTCGGTAATTATATTGCACAAACAACCTGCAGCTTTACTTGAGAATCTTATGAGAAATATATAGCTGGCTTGTCACTTTAAATTAATCTACTTATAGATTAATGATTAAACAGATCGACTGGATGTAAATGTTTACCAATGTTGTTTTTTTTTATTCTCCGCCATAATCGTGTCACATTTTACTTCTCTTCAAAATTGTACAATTCACTGAAAATGTTTTATGTTCAATTTCTCAGTTTCAACATGAAATTCAATGTTGGTCCTAATTTCAAACCAGTTTTATTGGAGGTACCGTATCTAGTCGTATTATTATTTAGGAAACGATATCAATTACAAAATATGTAATGCCTCGACTGAAGACCAAAGCACTTGTAGTCTGTTCTTTGAGATATATGGCTCATAATTTCTAAAAGGTAGTGTGCATACATGGGAAATAAGCCGACAAGTTTGATAATACAGTAACCACAGAGAAGCATGGTTCCTTCTTTGGAGACTAAAACTGAAAAGTTTGATCAGTTATTGCATGATGCCTAATATCAGTCATGTGTTTATACAAACTCCGTCTTCTTACACAAAACTCGTATTTTTAAAGGATCGCCACGGGCCAGTAAGAGATTCTCTTGACTGGATGACCTTGAGTAAAAATATTATAAATTCAGTACTCTAACCCCATCGCTTGAAAATCTGAAGTCTTAATTTTATGGAAGGTATTATAATAATAGGTATTGTCCGTTTCAGGCTAAAATACCAGACACCATCATGCTGTTATACAAAATATTGATTCATTATATTTATTTTCTGAATTATTTATTTGAACCAGCAATGCCAACTGTAAATTTGAGCAGAAGGATTTATCAGTTTTATTTTCTGGATTCTTTACTTGAACCTGTGATGCTAATTTGTACATTTGAATGGAGGGAGGGAGAAAAAAGCACAACTACTTTGAGAGTAAGTAAATTCTTTGACTTCATAATTTAGACTACAACACAGCTGACTGACAAAAGGGGGAAGAAGGTGTTGTGGTATTTTGAATTCAGACACATGGAGGAAACCCCATACCGTCTTTGCCTGTGGGAACCATGAGAACAAAACAAAACAATCGACATTTCGATTCTGTGGCATTCCTTGAATGCCACATTTTAAAAAATGTATAGTTAGCAGGCACCAAGTGGGTATTTTTTTTTCTTTTACATCTTTTGAATAAATATAAAAAATAGTTATTTCCTGATTCTTATCTTGTTCCTCTCTCTCTTTGATATCCAGCGAAGGGTTCTCTTTTCTTTTGTTTTCTAGCATCTAAGGCAGCGAGGCTAAAGAAGTCTATCAGTTTTGACAACAGGTAAGATAACCAACATCTCTTTCAACTGACTGAGGGGTCTCGGACAAAAAGAAACAAAACAAAAATACCTTTGAGAACTTTTTCTGAACTTCAGGATTTAAAATCTAATTATACTTCTTTTCTTATGAAGGTTTTCTGTAATATTTATGGTAAGAAAAAAAAAAAGTAACAGTTTCCATCCATTATAAAGGCAACAGATGTTCCATAATTATGAAGATGCTATAATGTGCTACGTAAAGGTAACTTTTTTTTTTTTTAACTCTGAACAATAAGACATAAAACACTGTAGGCAAGAATCTCTTAAGACTAGTTTATACAGTTAACCCAAAAAAGTTGATCAGTTTGATAAAATGTTGGGTTTTGCTCCCTAATTACTGAAGTCTCTCTAATACACTTAGTAACTTAAACACATGTAGACATTAAGAAAAGTTATAACCTAAAAAAAAAAAACAAAAAAAAAAAAAACTTTGGCCTATTGCCAAAAAAAAAAAAAACAACACACAATAAAAACATATATAGGAAGAACCAAAGAAAACAAGACGTAACATGCTAAAAACACTTATCTCACCAAGCCTTTGATGTGTACAAATGATGTGTCACATGCTGTGATGAAGGCAGGTTGGTGTGCACGTGTGACCCCTGAGGACTAAGAAACTGAGCATTCATTGTGTTTACATCATCGTTTAGGGACGGAAAACCTTCGATCCTCACACATACACACACTGTAAATGCAGTAAAACAAACGCACAAGTGCGCACGCAACCCCCTCCTCTGCTGTACCAGTTTTCATTTTTGTTAGACGGCTTTCATCAACGTAACAAATCTCATTGAAGACACAAAAACAGGAAAAAAAAAGAGAACTAAAATAGACTAATTTTTATAGTACCATTTCCTTTAAAAAGCTTTTTTTTTTTTTACCTTTACAAAACGACAAATAAGAAAATGTAGCAAATTGCATTTTCGATTAATGACACCATCATGGTTCTTCTTCTTATTTCCATTATTATTATTATTCATATCATTAATATAAATGTCAAGCAGGTTAATAAATGGTTGTTCTATTTAGGCAGGCAGCCAGGCACATAGCTAGTATCATGGCACAGTGGAAAGTAAAAAATAAAGTCTTTTAATTTGTTTTTTGTTTTTTTTTTCCATCCAAACAGATGAAGACTTTAGACCAGTTTTAACAGTTTGACCTGGATTCAAGCAGTTTCAAAAAGGGGTTAGGACTAGTTTTCAGCCACCGTGTAGATTTTGCATTGATCCAGGATCAGTTTGAGAAACAGCAAGGGATAAAGTGAAGGAAACTGGTCAATTCCGTACCAACTGAACCGCAGATAAGCCCTAGCTGGTTTCAAGCAAACCAGTTTGAAAATACTCAAAACAAAGTGTTTTTTTTGTTGTTGTTGTTGTTTTTTTGGTTTTTGAGATCCACTTGAGAGGAAAAATAAACATGTTCTGGGCAAAAGCGCAGCAGTTCTCACCAGATCACATCTGGCTGTTCTGAAATAAAAAGGGTAAATGCAGCAGATGAAATCAACACAGCAAAGTTCAAGTGTTATACTTCGAGTTGTTGTTGTTTTTTTTTTTGTTTGTTTTTTTGCTCTTGTTTGATGGCTATGTTAGTCCAGCCTCCGATCCTCCTATGTGAATGCGCACAGATCGGCTGTTTCTGAAAAGTGATTTCAGCTGGATGCCAGCACCCTGTTGACTCCCTGCCACAAATCTGTCAGGTAAGCAGTAACTCACCGGAGGATTCAGGCCGTTTCTCCCCTTGCCCAGCTGTAGTTCACCTGGGTCCTGCAATATATTTCTCTGAGCCTTTGACAGTGGGAGTGCTTTTTAAGGTACGCCCATTAGGAAATGAGCAAACCTTCAGGAACATAGAGCCTAATACTCCAATAACATGTTATTAATGTTTTGTGAGTCATTTAATTTCCATCAGTGAGCCCATCTAACTTCGTAGACTCTGCCACAGTTGTTATCTCCGGGGATTTCTCATCATCCAACGCCGTTTTCCCACATAATTCCTTACTTCTTTCTTGCTCTTTTTCGACTTCTTGTATACTTCCACTGTCTGTATCTTCCTTTTCTTGGCCGTCGTGATCTGTACTCATGACTTCATCATCTTCGCTTGTGATCCCTCCATCTTTTGGTGCAGGTGTCTGACTTCGACACTCCGGTGCTGCCATTACATGGAGACTTTTGCCGTCTGGTGTGTGATCCTTCTGTTGCTGCTGCGGCGGTGGCGGCGGTGGCAGCGTTTTGTGTAAGCCCCTCTGTATGTGCGTGGTGAAGTCATAGCGGTCCGCGCATACGTGGAGGCAAAACCCGCACTGGTACGGTTCCTTGTCGCCATGGCAGCTCATGTGCAGGGCGTACATGACCTCGTCCAGGAAGTAGATGCCACAGTGAGTGCAGCGGTTGGCGAGGTCGTCTTGTGTGGCTGCGTCTGCCTTCGAGCAGTTCGACACGATGCTCGACTCGCGCTTTCCTTCCTCCGCCATCTCTTCGCGCTCCTTCTCACCTTTCCAGTTTCCCATCGAGGTCTCACTTTGGGGCGACTCCTTCCTTTTTCTTTCAGAACCGTTAGACACATACATATTTGCGTTGCTCGTGTCTCGTTGCCTTATTGCGAGATCCAAAGGAGTGTCGTTCTCCGGTGACGCAGAGGATAACGTTTGGGCGTGATGAGGAGGCGGAGGAGGGTAGTGAGAAGGGGCTGGAGGAGGCGGCAGAGGGGAGTAAGGGGAAGCACAGTAAGGCACCGTGTAGCTTTGCTGGTGATATTGTACAGGGGTCACCATGGTTCCAAGATGATGGGCGTTGGTTCCAATCCCACTGGGGCTACTCAGATTACTGATGCTACCAGGGACCCCAGAGGTGGCTGCCATCTTATACTTGGTCCAAAATCTGAGCCAATCAGATTCAGGTGTCAAATCAGGTGACAGGGTCAATGGAAGAGGTAATGGCAAAAGCGGATATTGATATTTTTCTATTGGCGAACCTGGAGGAGAGTAGCTAGAGGGTTTAGACGGACGCATGTACTTTTCAATTGGGCTTCCCCTCTCCGATCCTCCTCCTTTCCCCACTTCTAGCTTTGACGTTAATCCCCCGTCTGCGATGCCCCCGTTGCTCTCGGCCACCATGGCTGGGGTAGGATGCGAGGGAAGGAGGAGGGGAGGCATACGCCTGTGGATCTCAAGAGTCTGATTGGCTAAGAAGGCTTGAGTGGACCGCGGGGAGCGTGAGCGAGGGGAAGGCTGCTGGCTTTTCACTGAAGGGCAGCTCCTGGTGTCCAACTCTTCACCGTTCAGGCGCTCCTCGCTGGTGATTCGCTGCTGTTTTGGGGCCGGGTTCTCGGACGACAACGTGTCGGGGTTCAAGCGCTTTCGGGTCCGCCGTCGAATGATTTGCTCGCCATTGTTCTGCTTGATGATGTTCAGGGGCCTCGGAGTCTACAAATAAAAGGAGACACACAGGAATATTACTGAGTTCCCCCGCTCTGTCATGCAAGTAATGCTGCTGATTTGACTAATACATGTCAAGTGTACATACACCAGCTATACTTGACTACAATGACATTCAATAAATAACTTATTCAGTGATTGAAAGGCTTCTGTGAGTGTCTATCAAATCAAACTGATCAATCAAGTCAGCATATCTTTTTCATTGTTGAAAATGCATCAGTCATTAGATGTTAGAAACCTGTAATTTTGTTTTACATAATTCTTTAAGACCAACATAACCACCACCTCTGAAAGCTGTGCTTCTTGCCCTAAACACAAGGGGGCACACTCACATCTTCTGTAATCTCAGTTTGCCCCCAGGACACGAGCTTAGCTCTACTTTGAGAAGTGCATCCCACACTCATACGGATCAAACTGCACATTACATGTGTCAATGCAAATTAAAAAATACATTTACAATTTACAAACTGAGAAAAGGAGAACATCACAGGCGTGCAGAATTTTGAAGAGTAAAAATTGCACAGTTGCTAAGAATTTAATCAGTTCCTTCTCCAGCTGTCAAAAGCATTTCTGAACACATGCTTCATTTTCTTCCTGCTAAACTGCTGAAGCTAATCATTGGTGCATATTTAGTTATTTATGACAAAAACTGCAGCAGTGCAACAAACCTCAAAACCTCAGGTTTATTTAAAATTTACTCTTTTTATAAATTTAAACTCCTTAAACTTTTTTTTTAATGTTTCTGCATTGGCATTCTCACCCGAATCAAGACCTTGAACAAGTATTTCGTAGTATGAATTTTAGTGTGAATTTTATAAATCTACAGACGGAATTATTTTCTATTTTTTCCCTTCACGAAATAACTCAAACTTGGCCAGATTGGATGGGGAACATTTGTGATTAACAGCACTGGCAAATGCTTTTGATTGATTTTGGGCCTGAACTTTGACTAGGCAATCCTAACTAATGAATATTCTTTGATCTAAGCCATTGCATTGTAATCAGACTCTATATTTATGGTTGTTTTCCTGATGGAAAACAACTTGATGAAGCTCTCATGCTTTTTATTCACCGTCTAACAAGCTTTCTTCTAAACTTTCCAATAATGTGCTAATTGGCATGTCTACACTGCTTGCACAATTTAACTTATTGAAACTTGCAGAAATCCTGATGTGAAAAGCTCTGGGTTTGGAAAAGTCTGTCTGACTCAGTCAGGTGTCATTTTTGGCTTGTCGTCTAGTTGATCTGGCAATTGTTAAAATAAACAATAACTTCAGTGATTAAAAATGCAAAGGTCCTCAGCTCCATTTTTCTAGTAAAAAGAAGAATACCTTATTAAGCTGTCCTGGCTAAAAGTCCACAATGCGTTTTTGCTTTTTTTTTTTGTTTACTCTGTATTCTCCACTGTTAACAGAGGAACTGTCCCTCTGAAGATTTTATACACAATTTAGAAGTCTGAATCAATATCCTAAACAAGATTGCACCACTGGGAGAAGTGGCAGCCTAAACACTGCCTAAATTATAACACAGACATTTCTCTAATTCTCTATAGTTTTCCTGTTTGTTTTTCTTTCACGAGAGACGTAAACAAGGGGGGGGGGGGGGGGGGGAAAAAACACAAGGGGGAAGGGGCAACCGAGAAAACCACGGGGAAAAGGGGGAAGAA